CCATGAAAGTATAGTTACAATTTTACAAATTGTGTATACTCTTTTGCCAACTTGAAGACGTTTTTTGGTTTATGATGAGTGAAGAAGATCGAGAGACTAAAATGTTAACATAGAAAGTGTGTTCTTACTTTATTTAAGAGCCGAACAAAACCAATCAAATATGAATTTTGTTTTCATGAATTAAAAGTAACAAAGTTACAAGCATCAAATGTAAGGTGAACAACATTAGACATCTTCCAACAAGATATCAAAATGAATGTAGTAATAATACATATAGAAAAGGAAAAAAAGAAAAACATAAAAATGAATTTAAAGTAGGGATTTTAAGACTCTCTTAGATTGTGTAATTGTTGTTGTTAACATCATCAAGATCATATCCTTTCAGCTTTGCAGCTGATTCAACTTTCCCCTTCAATGTTTGAGTCTCTCTCATTCTACAAAATCCATCAGAAAAAAAATCAAAACATGAGAGATCATCATCATCATCTCTAAAACATAATAAGATTCTAACAAATCTCTAGTATACATTATTAGAGGAACTTATCAGAAAAAAGAAAATCTAACCTTGCAATTTCTGCGCGCCTTTTCGCTTCTTCAGCCATGTTGTTAAGTTCTGTTGCACTAGCTGGCTTTTGACCGGTCTCTAAACCGTGCAGTGTACGCGTCTCGGTGGCCCACGCAGCCATTCGTTGGTCTTGGCCAAAATTCTTCTTGCCTGTGAGGGCAGTCTGGCAAAGAAAAATCACAACTTCTAGTTAGGCCAATGTGATTGTCAAGTACCAAATTTAAAGTGAGATTTTTGATATTTTTGATCTACGAACCCTTTGGTCCATCATTCGGTTCCAAGATTTGCCACTTAGAGCATAACGGACAGCGAATTTGATAGGATCAAGGAACATGTAAGTTACTATGTTGAATATCCAAATAACTCCAGTCCAACCCCATCCAATGCTTCTAACTCCAGCAAAAGGCCAAGTTGCCATTGCTGATATCACCGATGCAACCTTTGAAAACACACACAATTGGATTCCATTAACAAATGAAGAGGGTTAAGTAATTAAGGAAGATAATGAAAATGCATTTTCACCAGTTGAGCAATTAGGAAAGCAATGACAAGAAGAAAACCAGGTCGTTCAACAAATGACCAGCTTCTTGAACGCGTCACGAAGATCAACGCTTGACTAATCGTACTGACTTGAAGGTACACAGCAGAAGCCATCTGTTCATTCAAATGAGCAGCTACTTTCTTGTCTTTCATGTCGAAATGGTGCTGGTTAAAGTCTCTCACACCGAAAAGTTTCTACCACAAAAGGCAAAAAACAGAGAAATATATTATTGTGTTGTGACATTTGAAATCAAAGTCAAACAAAGAGAAGAGACCATATTATATAGCTTCTTACAGGGAAGAAGTTAGTTTCATAAGCTGCCCAGAAAAACACAACGGTCATGATCGCCAAGTAAGCTCCAAGAACAACACCAGTAGCAAAAATTTCCTTAAGTTTCCAACAATCTGGTGTTGGAGAAGGCTTGACTCTGTCCTTTGATATAGTCATTATAGTACCTTTTTCAACAAGAGAGCAAATTTATCAGAGATTCAAAGAACCAGCAAGAACCTTAAAGCTGAATCATCGAAAAACGGTAAACTAACCATCGTTAAGGATTGCAATAACAAGAACCATGAATGGAGGAAAGTCAAACTCCCAGAAGACACATAGAAGCATGAAACCCATCTATAACACAAAAACAATAGAGAAAAATGCGTTACCAGATGCAAATAGAACTAAAGTATTTCTAAAAATCTGATGCATATCCAGCGTAGAAACTTACCACAATACGTATAGTGATAGAAACTGCATATATCTGCAAATGAAAAACAAAAAATTCAATCAAAAAAGCTTTCATTTTAAACTTAATGAAGCTGAAGCATTGATGATTTATACCGTGTAATTTTTCATTCTTTGGAAAATTGCACGGCTAGTCAAGACAGCACTAATGATAACACTAAGACCAGGTTCTGTTAAAACAATATCAGAAGCACTTCGAGCTGCATCAGTAGCATCATCCACAGCTATTCCAATATCAGCTTTCTTCAATGCAGGTGCATCATTTACTCCATCTCCAGTCATACCGCAAATGTGTTTCCGCGATTGTAATCTCTTAACAATCTCATACTTGTGCTCTAAAAAACCAAGAAACAAAAAAGGTAGCTTTTTTGTCAAGATATCACTCAAAAGATCATAGGTTACAAAACGTGGTTTATAAGTAAAGTAGTTACCAGGAAAGACTCCTGCGAAACCATCTGCGTTTTCGATAAGTTCATCGATGGAAACTGCTTCAGTGTTGTTATCAGAGAGTAAAGATGAAGATGGGTACATGTTTGTTCCCATTCCAAGCCTTCTTCCTGTTTCTTTAGCAATGGCAAGCTGGTCACCTACAAAGTATATTGATTTTTATGAGTACACATGAATCAAAACTCGAGTATGACGACCTAAAGAAATCACAAACTATGTACCTGTGATCATTTTAACACTGACTCCAAGATGAAGAGCACGCTCAATTGTTTGTGCACTATCATGACGAGGAGGATCAAACAGAGGAAGAAGAGCTACAAAGTCCCATGGTCCACCTTCACCTTTAACATCACCATCTGGTACTTGCTATATTATTGAAAAATGAGAGTTTTACAAACATAATCAGAAGTGATAATCCAATTTAAAACGAGTTTTAGTTCACATTTTAGTCATAATGGTGTCTCACCTGATATGCCAATCCAAGGGATCTTAAGCCACGTTCTGCGAATTTTTCGATTGTAGAATGTACCTTGTCCTTGATTTCTAACTTGTTGTGCGCCATATCCAAAATCTACAACATGAAAAATTTAGAACAATAAATATCTCAAGAAACTATGTGTAAAATTAAGGTAATGTGGTAAAGTTTATATAACCTCCTCAGGAGCTCCTTTGCTAACTCGGTGCATTTTGCCTTCTCCATCAAGGTAGGTTAGTGCAGTTCTTCTATTAGCTGGACTAAATGGAAGAAAATGAAGTTCTTGAATTCCAGCACGTGCCTATAATACAAAGTATCAGATCAATACATCACAATTCAATCTAATTTAAGTGAAAAGTTTGAGTCTTTAATTCGATATACCTCTTTCGGGTCTGATAACATGGAAACAATCGCGGTATCAATAGCATCTTGGTTCTCTAAACGTGCAGCTCTTGCAGCCATAAGAACAGCCATATCCTTGTCTATTCCCCTCTTGAAAATCTGTAACAAAAGAACCTATCAGAATCTGTAACTACAAAAGTAAGAAGAAGAGAGGAAGTAAAGACGCCAAACCTCGATGAGATTCTTATCCACGGAAAGCTTGTTTAGCGTGAGAGTACCCGTTTTATCACTGCACAGAACATCCATTCCTGCCATTTCTTCAATAGCTGTCATTCTCTTTGTTATAGCACCCTGAAATGCATTATAATGTCATTACAAAGAAACACAAAACCGACAAATTTATTTTAACTAAATCTTGTATCAAGACTTGTTTATTGACCTGTTGAGCAAGGCGATGAGCACCAATTGCCATTGTAACAGAGAGAACAGTAGGCATTGCAATAGGGATTCCACCAATCAATAATACAAGAAGGTTATCGATACCAACACGGTATCCTCTCTTTTGAAGACCGTAGATAACAATGATTTCAATCACCATCCCTAGCGCAATCGAACAGATACAGAAGTTTCCTATTGCCGTCAAAACCTGTAAAATCAATATACAAAGTTTATGTTTTTAGTCATCAACTCTCAAAAAGATTTTAAAAATGTTTCATATCTTTTACTCTGAATGTATGAAACAAACAAACCTTTTGGAAGTGACCAACATGTGTAGTACTGTCCACAAGATGAGCGGCTTTACCAAAGAAAGTATGGACACCAGTGGCTATAACAACCGCTTCGATTTCACCTGACTTGCAAGTTGAACCAGAATACACCGAAGCACCGGGGTTTTTGGTTACCGGAAGAGATTCACCGGTAAGTGCAGACTGGGGAAAAAAGATAAAAACTAACCAAGATTAGTCGAAAACAGAGCTATAGAAAACAGAGCTATATGCATCAAGAAACAGAACTTGCCTGATCAATCTTTAAAGGATCTCCTTCAAGAAGACGAGCATCAGCAGGAATGATGTCTCCAAGTTTGATAGCAACTACATCTCCTGGAACCAACTCAGCTGCATCTATCTCGTTCCATTTCCCATCGCGGATCGCCTTTTAAAACAATCGATTAAATACATAAGGCTAATACTAGCATCAAATCTTTAAGTGGAAGCAACACAAAGAAAAGTTAAATACCTTTGCTTTAGGTGCTAACTGAGCCATGAGAGCAGCAGCTGCATTTCCGGCATTGTTTTCTTCTACAAAACTGATTGTTGAATTGATCAAAAGCAAGACCACAATACCCACGAAATCGTGATAATCCGGTGGCTTTCCCTGAACAAGTTGAGACAAATTAGTTTCTTCATCAGAATCTCATAACTTTTTTTTAAAAGGGAACAAAAGACTTACTCCTCCATGTGCAAGACCAATGGCCATGAGGGCTGCAGCTTCCATGACCCATGAAAGTGGATTCCACATGAATCCCAAGAACTTGAGTATCTTACTCTCCTGCACAACCAAATCAAATTGAGAGATCAACATAACAACAAAAAAAGAAAGAAAGATCAGATCAATAGATAAAATGTGAGATTGAAAAAATTTATATCATTTTTTAACCTTTTTCTCCTCAAGTTTGTTGTAACCAAACAAGGTAAGTCGCTCCTGCACTTCATCTGATGTCAGCCCTTGTTTCGTACATTTGAGATGTTGAAAAACCTCTTCGACGGGAACATTTTCCTGCAAAACAAACGATCCGATCCATGAGAAAATTGCATTTGATTCTTAGTACTTTTCTTGATAACTTAAAAAAACTATCAGAAGCAATCATCCACAAAATGGTGAGGTATAAAAAACTACATACCAGATCAATACTCTCCGTGGTGATAGCCTTGAGAGAGTCTAGATTATCCGCCATATCGAACTTCCTTTTTGCTTGAGCCGGAAGTTACTAAAATTTAGTTATGGAATCTGCAATGGCAAATTGTTTACATCATCCAGAGACTAAACATTTTCCTTCTATGAAATCTATGCAGAAGAGAATCAAAGACAAGCAAAAATGCACAATAAATTAAGACATACCTTAGAATAGAAGAAACCTTCACCAAAGCATCACCCTTTCAAAGCTTGACCTTCACGAAAAGGAAACGGGACAAGCTTCTGAAACAAAGGGAAAATTCTGGGAAGCTGAGACAAGGAATGTGTAATGCAGGCAACAAATAAAGAAGACAAGAGGGTCTATATAATAACTAGTTCAAAGATTTTGCCGGCCAAATCAAACCCAATGCAGAAGAAAGCTGACTCTTTCAAAACGCCATTTTCAACCTTTTAAATGTCATTTAAATTGCCATCACCGTAAATTAATTAATTAAAAATAAGGAAGAAAAAGAAAGATTTGAGAAAATGAATATTCATTTACCAATTTATATTTGAAGACGTAGAAGGTTAAGCAAACTTTTTGGCTTCTCAGCATCTACCGGCATTAGGGTAGCTAGTAACAAATCTTAACCTAAACTGCATTATTACAATGGATATAACCAAAACCTAACATATTCCTTAAGTTTCTTTCTTTATTTAACATTTTTACCTCCTTAAGAACCCTAGATTGAAACTCTCAAAAGTCAAAAAAATCTGACTAAAATCTTAACTCCATAATGTCTAAGGTCATTGACCTCTATTTTTGCCTATTGAAAATGTTAGAGGGACACAAAAACAATTGGCACACGCGTCAAATAATTCGATCAAAAATTCCTCATTTCACCCTTAATCGCATTATTTAGCAAAACAAACGGTCCTATTCTTAGAACGTGTAAGAAAACTCTCAAAAATCTAATTTCTATAATAATCAATATTGAAGATAGTGGTGATCCATGATGCTGGGGGGAATTTTTCTTTTCTACGCTATAATCAGGATATTCCGAGATCTTTAAGAGCTTTAACACCCTCCATTAAATCAAAATCAATGATTAAAAATTAAAATATATAAGCATTTTTGAGTTTTGACCATATATATCTTCAGAAGACAAGAACCATTTAGTGGACAACAACAATTTAGCCGGACGTCCTTTCGACAAGT